AGGCCTGGAACCTTGAGTGTAGCATCAGCTTTCAACTCCCTAGTTCTCTCTCTAATGTTTTCAGTAGGGAAGTATGTCGCTCCAATCTGTTGGGTAATACCACCAGCTTCGCCTTCTTGCACATTAGTGCGTCTAATACAATCTAGCAGCTTTGTCTTGCCAGTATCGACATGACCAAGGATGCAGCAGATTGGTGATCTGAGGTCACTACCATTCTTAGAGTTATCCTCTTTGACAGGTCCTTTCTTTTTGTTCCTCTTAATATTTCCATTATTGGCATTGGCACCACCACCATCAGTTTCACTCTTTTTGGAGTCTGCAACAGGAGGGGCAAGCTTTTTGACAGCAGGCATCGCAGGTTGAGCTGTCTTCTTGACAACAGGCTTTGCCTCTTCCTCATCAAAAGCGCTTGTATTAGGCAAGTTGACATCAATATCATCCCAGCTCTTTGCATCCCACTCATTCTCATCTTCCTCTTCCTCTTCTTCTTCTGGTTTTGGCTCTTCAGTCTCCTGGTCAGGTTCAGTTTTCTCCTCGGATTCCTCAACCTGAGATTGTGATTCCTGATCCACGAGCACATATTCTTCCTCATCATTGTTAACTTCATTGAGTTCTTCCTGTTGTTCTTCAACTACCTTTGCAGTCTCTGTGGCCTTTGGTTGAGCTTTCTTTTTCTTAGAATCGTATATTGGCCTCTTCTTGGTCTCAGGGGCAGCACCCTCAGCCTTTTGGAGTTCACTCTGCTCAAGGAACTGTCTCCTCATGGCTTCTAACCTCTTCGCTTCCTCCTTCTGCTTCCCAGTCAAGAGCTTACCCTCCTGCTTCTTCTTGAGCAGCTTCTCCTTTTCCCTCTCCTTCTTCCTCCTCTTTGCTTCCTCCGCTTTCCTCTCCTCCTCCTCGCGTCGCAGCCGCTCTTCCTCCTCCTTCCGCAATCGCTCTTCCTCCTCTCTCTTCTGTCTCTCCTCAGCTTCCTTCCTCCTGGCAAGTGCCTCCTGCATCTCACGAACATGTTTAGGGAGCTTCTTCATGTCAACCTTCCCTTTAGGTGCCTCTTGCTCCTTCTCCTCTTTCTTAGCCTCCGCTCCCTTTGCTGCAGCCTTTTTCTCCTTCTCCTTTTCCTTCTTTTTCTTCTTCTTCTTGGCAGCAGCAGATTCCACCTCTCCTCCTTCCTCAGCTTTGTCCTCCACATTACCATCCTCTGCAGCTCCAACATCCTCCTTGGCCAATGCAGCAGATTGTGGTGCCTGCGCTGGCTTGTCCTCCGCAGCAGGAGGGACTAAATCAAGCTCAGCAAGAACCTTCTCCAACTCCTCTTCTTCCTTTGCTGTCCTTCCACTTTTCTTCTTTTTCTTCTTCGATTTCTTCCCTTCGGCATCATCCACAGGGGCATCAGCAGCCACAGTTCCGTCATCATTGGTGTCCTTGGGCTCAGGCTCCTCTGCAGGAGGCGGGCGGCCCTCTATCCCCGCAAGGATCTGGTCGATGTCCTCACCATCCACATCCATTGTAAACCCTCCCTTCTTTTTCTTCTTCTTTGATTTCTTTCCCACGACATCATCCGCATCAGGGGCAGCCACAGAATCCTGAGTTTTCACCTCCTCTGGCTCAGGCTCATCTGCGAGATGAGGATCCTCCTCCATCCCCGCAAGGATCTCGTCGACGTTCTCACCATCCATCATAAACGCACCCTTCTTTTTCTTCTTCTTCTGCTGCTTCTTTGCCGTTGCTGCAGCAGTCACTGAGGGTTCCTCCTCCTCCTCCTCAACCACAGGTTGGGGTGGCGGGGTAGGATCGTCGTCCTCGTCTTTAGCAGGCGCCGAGCGAGGCCCCTTGTCCTTCTTCTTTTTCTTCTTCTTGGACTTGCTGAAGTCGTAATCGAGGTCGTCGTCGTCCTCGGCTGGATCGTTGCTGGGCTCCGGCTCGTCCGCGGCAGCCGGGGCGGGGTCCTCCTCATCCTGGTCCTCGTCCTCCTCGCCGAGGGCGCTGAAGGAGGCGGCAGGGGCGGCGCCCTTCTTCTTCTTCTTCTTCTTCTTGCCGGTGAAGACGAGGTTGACGGGCTCGTCGTCCTCCTCCTCGTCGGCGGCGGGCGGCGGCGGCGGAGGGGGCTCGTAGTCGTCGTCGTCGTCGTCGGGCGCGGCGGCCTTGCCCCCCTTCTTGCCCTTCTTGCCGCCCTTCTTGGGCTTCTCCTTGTCGGCGGCGGCGGGGGCGGGGCGGGGGGGCGGGGCTGGGTCGGCCGCGTCGTCGTGCGGGAAGGAGTACTCGTCGTCGTCGATGGCGACGTTCTTCTTGCGCCCCATCGGCGGCGAGCTTGGAGGCCCTAGGGTTTGGGTTGGGGGCGGGAAAGAATGCGGCGGGCGGGCGGACGGACGGAGATCGACGCGGCGGGGGCGAGGTGGAAGAGAAAGGAAAGCAAGGAAAACCCTACTCGCCTTTGCGTGGGTGATGATGCGATGCGATTGGAAAATGGAATTGGGTTGCCAAACGGATTTGAGACTTGGAGTTTCTTTTTATTTCTGCAATCAAACACATTAGATACATATATGCAATTTACTTACATGTCCGCACACTGTATTTGCATACTACGTATTAATATTCACATACGTACACCCTATTGACAAATGAGAAGTGTATTAGTACTGTCGTCTTCTCTCCCTGAGTTTTTTTTTAATAAAAAGACAAGGCTTATAGAAACGTGTGGATTTGTTGGCTCCACACAATGCTACATCTCATGGACCCTTGTATTTTCAAGGGACGAGAAAAAAAGAAAAAAAAGAAGATACATAACTCGAAGTCTAATGTAACTTAGATTTTCTTTAACAGCAGGACTCATGGTAGCTCCTGATATTAGGACGTGTTTTGTTGGTGATGTCATTGCACCGCATCCTTGCCACACCTCATACGTCAGGGGTGAAGCTACATAGTAATTGTGCAATGCAGATACACTTCCTCTAAATTGTAAAAACAATGGTTATAATTAAAGGCTTTGTTCGCTTGAACTTATCAGCCGTACCGTTTCAGCGAAATAATATTGTTTTTCTCTTACAACAAATCAACATCAACATTAACATCAACATCATCCATTTTTCTAGCCAGCCGAATAGGGCCAAAATTTACTATATATGCATCCTCTATGATTCAAGACTATGTATCCACAAAACAAGCACACCTCTCTCCAATTAGCTCTAATTTCACCATTTCCTCTGACGAAGCTTAGGCATGTCGCATAACTATCACAACCCCTAGTTCATTTTTTTGTAGCAAAGTGTGTTGCACACAAAGTGTGGTGAAGGTTTGGCGGATGTTTCGTTCGCCACAGCTAGGGCATGGCCACATGGGCACCGGTGTGGCATGGCGCACTCACAACAGCTGTCTAAATTCGCCCTTAGTAATGTGCTAGTACTTCGCCTTTAGTAGTGTGCTAGTACGGGCAGCTTCTCTAGCATGTGTGTTGGACAGAGGGTTGGAGTGGGTTGAACTCAGTTTTCCCCTGCTGTTTGGTTAAGAGTCCAGCAGATTTGGGGCGAACCCACAAGGGCCTCGCTAGTGTATTTTGTGAAGATAGAGAATCAGAACTATTTGCTACAGTGCTTGCAGTGAAAGAAAGCCCAAGCAAAAAAGAATCATGCCATAGCGAGTGGCATGGTCGGCTTAGAATCCAGTGAAAGAAAGCCAAAGCAGCCCTGTTCACTTGAACTTATCAGCCCGGCTTATCAGTTATAGTATAATGTTTTTCTCTCACAACAAATCAGCATCAGCTAATTTATCAGTTGAAATCATCAGCCGAATAGGTAACAGCCGAATAGGTAACAGGCTGCTAGGTTTTTGGGTGGAAGGACCGAAACCACGACCAATCATGTGATCAAAAGTAGCTCGATCGTGGTCCTTTCTGGTAGAGTTTTTTTGTTAAGGTTTGTTTACCGGCTTAATAAAAAAAATCCTAGCAAACGAGCACATTAAAACTAAAGAAAAAAAAGGTAAAACCAAAACTGTTTTAGGGCCAAAAGTCGAAGCCATACAAATGTAGTCTTTTCTGGCTTCTTCGTTTTTTATTAAATGCTCAAGATTTCACTCTGAATATCTTAACCTCTTGGCAAGGAGTAGTTCGTTGCGTAAGATTTTTTCCCTAGTTTTGTATAGAAAAAAAGAGGGCTTAACACTCCATTTTTGTTGAAAACATGATCGTAACCCCAGACTGGAGACATTGTTTGCACCTTATCCACGTTCACCAACTGAACGTACGAAAGTTTGGCGGTCGTCAGTTTCAGGACAACACTAGTCCAAGCACATCGAGAAGACTGCACTGATGTTGTCGGTTGTTAACACGCTGCTGTCGATGCAGCTTGGATTCCGAAAGTTGCATAACATGCTCCTCAGACTGTCAAGTTCACTAGTTATCAGCATGGCTGAGTGGCAGAATAAGATGCATCAGCATGACAGAATGGGGTGTCATCCTCATCAGCAAAACAATAATTCTGTTGGCAACCGAATTAATAACCTCGGTCGCCAAGAATAAAGTCCTGTTACAGACGATGTCGTATATGATACAGACACATCCCATTTGTTGCAGAAACTACTATGATATAGTAATCTTGCACAGCTAATCTGCTACAACACATCAATATATCTCAAAGCACAAGTAGCACAGGCAATTTAGTGCTAGCAGTTTCTATTGTACCTTTACCTGTTAATAACAGAAACAATGCCCCAAACCCAATCAGTGACAGCTACTTGGAATCTACATATGTATGCTATATTTCAGATTTGGACCCTAGAATCAACCACCTTACCTCGTCAGCCCAATCTCCAGCCAGATTAGATCTGTGTATGAATCTGTAGTTCTGTACCCTGAACAAACGTGGCAGCCTACATGGTTGTGGAAAAAGACTAGTGTTGGGCTAACCAATGTACATGTGCAGCAGACTAAACAGGAGCCTTTTCTCCACCTTTCGAGCGTCCTAGTAATAACTATTGTTATTGTCCAAGTCTCCCTGAATCCGTGGCTATGTTCTGCTCTTGAACTTTCTATGTGACTTGAGGTCGACTACAATGACGGTTATGTTGTCCTTGCTCCCCTTCTGGAGAGCCAGCTTCGACAAATATTCAGCAGCTGCTTGAGCTGCTTCATCTGCCGAATCACCGCTTCTTTGGGCTGACGGTGAGGCGTCTGCATTCTTCTTGTGCCACAGCAGTATGCGCTTGCGAGCAGCATCACATACCTCCTCGTTTGACATTACATCCCAGAGGCCATCACTGGCAAGAATTAGACATTCATCATCTTTTGCACGGGCAACAATTGTGACCTCAGGGACTGGGATTATATATGGCTTCAGGTACCTGTCCCCTGCATATAGATCAACAATATGTCATCTGGCAATCAATCAAAATTACATCATCATTCACCATCACCGTTATCATTTGTCTATCACTCTATCTGATGTTGGGAGAAATAAACAGTCAAAAGAGCAGTTGGTTGATGGTCACTTTTTCATCCACATGTCTATCTGGTTGTAGTCAAGTTTAAGTGAGGTAGACTGGAACACTGAAACAAAGGCAACAAAACAGTACACGAGGTTCTAAAGGTTCAATAAAAGTAAAACAAAGATCATTGGGCCTGACCCTCTCCTGTGACTGCAAGGAGTCCATGAATATAGAACATAGGCCCAAGCAGTCAGTCCTCGGTCCATGTAATGAATAAGATTAACTGAATTTGTGGACTCCTGTGGGTGAAGTGAAAGGAAATGTTGAAGCTCAACAGATGCGCACAATGGTCTAATTTTCTCACAAGCCTGGAAGCACTACCAATTGTTCTGTAGTAACCTTCCAGTCTGCACCGCATAGTCAGCGAAACATTCCAAACCACACAACTGTTTGTTATCCAACAGAAGTCCATACCATTTCATCCAGTAGCACTAATTAAAACCGGAACTCATTAGGTTTCCATAACGGACAAGCAAACTTTTGACTTTACTGAAATTAAAGCATATATATCCCTAAAGCAAAACTGCAACAAATCAAATAGCCAATAATTTGTCAAAGAACAGAATGGACCAGTCAACAACATTCCAAGTGGTGATAGCTACATATTGTACCCTTTGTTGTAAGTAGTCTGATTAACTAGTCTGTAGTTTTTCAGGAATAACTGTGAGGATGTATACGGCATCATAAGCCAACGTTGCTCTCATGACACGAAGAGGACAGGGACACGTACCAATTGACCGGGACATGGCAAGAACACCGAGAACTCGATAGCCATTCCAATTGATGACCTTGCCTCCCTGGGCCTCAATCCTTGCATACTCATCTTCCCTGTTTGGCTGTAACAACAAGAACAGCAAACGAGCAATACATCATACAATCAGGCTAGCACCCAGACAGAATCAACAGATTGAGTGAAACAAGTAGAAGAGTTGACCCAAGAAGAGATGATGGCTTACTTTATGGTCCACGGACAGCGCCAGGGGCTGCTTGCCCCGGCAGAGCACCGCTCGCGAGTCGCCGCAATTGGCAACGATGACGTGCGATGAGCAGACGAGCGCAACCACCGCTGTTGACCCCACGGTGTCTGGAGCCACAGGCTTGCCTTCGGTCGCCGTGTTCCCTCCCACCTCTGCATCAACACGGCTAAAGCAGTCCACAAAGGCCTTCTCCCAGTGCTTCTGAGTATTAGGGCCAAGACCACTCAAGTCAGCGTCGGACGCGGCCTCCTCTGCCTTGGTGAGCTCCTCTGCCAGTACCTTGTGGATTCTCTCACGGCAGTAGTTGGCGACCTGTAGCAGTGGGATTCATTGATCAGGGAGCTTGCAGCTGCAGTAATAATCGAGTGCTATGCGTCTGGTCTGGGACGAGGTGGTGGCGGTGAATCGAATGAATCATGTGGAGACCTGAAGGCCGCCGTGGCCGTCGTAGACGCCGAAGAAGTGCGTGGGGAGGCGGAAGGAGGCCCGGTCGAGGCCGTCGACGGGGGAGTCGCCGGCGAGCATCCAGAGCGGGACGTGGAAGAAGCTTGGCTGCACGTGGGCGGCGTCCTCCATCTCGGGTCGTCGGCCGCACACGGACTCGAGCCCCCAGCGCGGCACGCAGTCGAGCGCGAAGACGCTCCTGGCGGGAGCGGCGGCGGCCCTGGGCCCGGAGGCGGGGAGAGGGGTGGCGGAGGCGGAGGAGACGAGGTCGTCGAGCACGAGCGCGGGGCCGAGGTCGGCGAATCCCTCGAAGTCGGCGGTGGCGACGCTGCTGCAGTCGCTGGCGACGGAGCAGGGGCTCCCGGGCGCGGACTCGGGCTCGGGCGCGGTGCTGGCCCCCGCCGGCTGCGGCGGCGGCATCGCGGGAGCGGAGTCGTCTATGAAGTCAGCGACGGCGGCGAAGAGCGCGAGGCCCCCCGCGGCGAGGTCGTCCATGGGCTCGGTCAGGGCAAGGAGCCATTGGCGGCGGCGGCAGTAGTGGTGGCGCTCCCCTCGCGTGATGCGCGTCGGGGGGTAGTGGTGGTCATGGGGTTGCGGGGTGGCGTGGCGGGGGCTCGCAGGCAGATCTGAAAAGGGTGGGAGAGGGACGGGACGGGACGGGCTGGATGGGATGGAATCCAGGAGTAGGTGAGGGGAGATCAGGGTGTCACGGGCGGTGCCCTGGCGGCGACGGAAGCCGCCCCGGCGCGAGTGGAGTGGAGCGAAGCCGCGCCGCCCCCGCCCCCGCCCCCGCCCGGTGGAGCGAGCGAGCGAGTCGAGTGGGCGTACGGAGGGAGGGGCTGGCTGATGCAGGGAGGAGTGGCTGGGCAGGCAGGCAGCGACGGGGACGGGAAGAGGCCCACCTGGCAGTGGCGGCCATGGACGGATGGATGGATTCGGTTCAGGCGCGGCGTGGGGCCCACCGGAAGGAGCGTAAAACGTGCTTCCTTTTTGGGGAGGGTGATGATTGATTTGTTTGTAGGCAATAATGATGTCATGGCGTCACGTGGTGACGTCGGGCCGTTGAGGCAGGCAGGCATCTGGTCTGGGCCCTCTCCGTCCGTGATGGGCCAATGATTAGGGGGAACGGGAAGCGGGACGGAACTGACCGACCGAGAGACAGACGGCCACACGCCCCACGGCCCACCGCCCACACAGCAGAAGGAAGGGGACGGCACCGCCCCGGCTCCGGATGATGCACGGCATGGGCCCAGCAGTACTCGGACGCTAGCGTCCTGACAGCGCACCAGATAACGACTATAGTCGGTGTTGTTGTTTTTTTATTTTTAAAATTTAACTGTAATTACCTAACTTTCAGGTGAATTGATATTTTTGTCCAGATTTGAGCTAGCGCATGGAGGAAGAGTCGGATGAGTGGCTTTTTAATGGGCCACTAATTTTCTTCCACGTGGTCAAGATGCACTACCCTATAAAGGTGTATAGGCAGTTCGAAAGATTGCAGCCATGCCCACCGCCGTTCTACACAATCAACAGAAAGTTGCACGGATTCGACGACTATAACATAATAATTTAGCAGTCATGTGTATACATACAACCACTAACTTACGTTAAACTTGTAGGTACGATCGAAGAAATAGGTACAAGGAGAACAATTGGGCCGTGACGCATGAGGGGTACATCCACGACTCGAAGAATAGGCAAAGGGTCCTGATCGCCGAGAAACAACCGCACGACCAACGCAACTTCGACCGCTACCTCCAATGGTTGCATAGGAATACCCGTACACATATGCAAGCCCCCTACACTAACAAGCCAAATTGATGAGGACGAAGACGAGGATGACATCGTTGATGCATACGACGAGGCGATAAGGATGGAGACACAGCTTCAGAGAGCCCCGCTATAGAGATACGTTGTAAGAAATTTAAATTTCAATACAACTGCACGTCGATGTTCCTATGAATTATAGTGATACGAACTTACCTCGATTGTGTATGCAAGCAACACAGTTGACAAGTATGTCCAACGAAGCAGCCTTGCGACTTCACGAGACCAGAGGGGAGCCGCACGGCATTCTACACATCTTCGTCGATGTACATTCTATTCTCAAAGCCATGACAGTGGTTAAATGGTTCTCATAACTCATTCATCCGTATTTTTTTGCAGAAAGTGAGGAGGAGCTGCAAGAAGCTGGCACAGAAGCTCAGCTGCGTGGATACTCCGAGGGAGATGCCCTATGACCCAGACCTATCTAGTTCCTTACGCTCGAGCACTATACCGACACGAGTAGGTTCCTCCGACATGATGGCTGCTGGGACCTCTTATGTTTGTACTCCCGGCAATGCAGGTAAGGGTCCTGCGGAGCATGACGTTGAGGAGGACGAGGATGAGGAGGACGAGGACGAGGATGAGGAGGAGGACTACGATAAAATTGGGATGTCTCAGCTTGGTAGTGCACCATTTTCTACACAGTTCGATGAATAGGTACTTGAAACAACCCTTCGCCATATACGTCACAATTACTTAAACATTATAAGTAACGATACCTACATTGTAATTACAGGGTCCTAGTTACACTCAGCAGTACCGCCGGGTGTACCACCAGCGAGACCGTACTGACATTGGGTTCACCCCTAACATGCTGCCTTCACGTCCGAAGATGCAGCGACGTCCGCGGTACCCATATACTCCTGGGTTGTAGGAGTTCTTTAGGATAACATGATGCAATTGTACTCGGACACCTATATACTTATGGAACATGTAGTATATCGAGTAATGTTGAACCTATGTATTGATAAACTTGTGTCGTAGTTATGACTTGTTGAACTTATGTCGAACAGAGGTATTATCGAACTTGCGATGAACTTGGGACGTGTACAAGTTAGTATTGCTGAACTTGTGTATTGATTGTCTCGTGCACTTAACCTTCCTGCTGACCTATTCATTAAACCGACACGATGAAATAACTTAGCTCATGTGAGAACATAATAGAAGTGCCTTGTTCCATCTGCTGTCGCTTTGACCGCCATGCCATGGCTGGGGACGCGTCAGCCTTACCGCGCCATGGCAGCTGGCGTGTTAGCCTAGCCGTGGTGTGGACGGTGGCACGACAAACCCATGCTGGGCGCTGCCTAGACTCCCTTCTGAGCGCATCAGCAGCAAGATTTTGATGCATATAATTTAAGGGGTTTGAAAGATTGCAATGGTGAGACCAATTTTTATTTATTTTTTTTAAAACAGTGCATAGACATGACACAAGGTCATTAGTGAATGGTACAGTCTTCTAGATAATGTTTGGACAAGATGGGCACCAAACTAAAAGGAATATGCGTGCCATGTCTCGTGGCTAATGTTTCCCTTGGTAACACTGGTACTCTATAGATTGTGGAAGAAACCTCTTTAGCAAACCCCTCTATCAGATATGCTTCATCAGGACACTACAGACCCAGGCCAACTTCATTGGTCACCAAGCTTCTATCGCCTAATGCTAGCAGGCACAATGAGATACACTAAGACCCAAAAGTAATACCCGAATATGTGACAATGACAAAAGCAAAAGCATTATATACCGAGAACGTAACAAATACATACAAATTGCGGTATTGTAATACTATTTTTTGTGGCAAAAGTTTTATGAGATAACACAATGTCCGTTATAAAAATTAAACAGTGTTTATTATATAGGTACAATACATAAATAGTTCAAATGAAACACAATGCAGCACCGAGAAAGTTCTACTACAATACAAATATCAAATCTAAAGCATTGAACTAGCACACCTGTACCAATCCTCTACCACACCTCTACCAATCCTCAGTCTAAAATATACTGAGTAAGCAACTCATTGTCCGAGTACCAGTCCTCTATCACTATCTCGTTAATGTGGCTAGGCTCACCTGTATTGCCCTGATCTGCCTGTCGCCTGTTGTAAGCTGCCTCCACTTCACCTGCGGCCTCTGCGGCCTGAGTCAAGAACGTGTCCTCCTCCATCTGACTCAAATAGCTAGGCTCATCTGCATTGCCCTGATCTGTCTGTCGCCTGTAGTAAGCGGCCTCCACTTCATCTGCGGCCTGAGAGAAGAACGCGTCCTCCTCCACCTGCAAACCCGCATCTGCTTGAGCAATAAGCTCGCTAAGTCTGCCAGTGTCTTCCTTAGCCTCCTCAGTCTGCAAGCCTGCCTCTACTAGAGCGATGAGATCGCTCAACCTGGCAGTGTCGTCCTCATCCTCGTCCCCATCATCGGCCAACACAATCGAAGATTGGACGGTGCGACACGCTCACGTTCTGTGCTCATCTAACTTATTTTTCTCATACCTTGCACGGGCCACCTCTACTGCATGGTCCTCGCTGCATCCAATCCCTTCATGTATAAAACGCAACCAGTTAAGAATGCGATTATATTACATTTAAAATCAGGCAACGAAAATAAAAAGGCTTTCAAGCACTCAATGGCACACAATGCAACAACATGGTCATTCAAGACCTGCATCTGTACTCTTGTCTCCTCCCATGCCTCTTTCCTTGTCCTCTCATCCTCTGACGCCCTCCGTCTCTCCAACCCCCATTTGTCAAGCCTAACATCGATCGGGTTACGAATACCGCGTTGTCTAGCAAACACACGCATCTTCTTTTTATGATGTTTAATGAATAGGTTGACGTAGTCAGGTCCATATCCCCTCTTCCGTGCAATTACTTGCCTCCCCTTCAGTTCATCCAAGAACATAGCATGACCATCATAATATTCACACCTGCATTTCCTAGTGTTATGTTCAAACGAAAAATTATATCATATATGTCTTAACAAAAGAAATAAAATACGATTTTATGTTTACCACAAAAATAACCAACCTCACCATAGTCAACCATATGACCGCAATAATGGTATATTCCAAGCTCCGAAGGGACTAGACCGTAGTTGAATTTAACATCACATTCGCACATGACTGGAGGTGCTTTGTAAATTAATCTTTCTTTCTTCTTTTCCTTTGCCTTTGGTGGCTCCGGCCATTGATTTTTAGGACCATAGAGCCACTCATTGAAACGACACTTCGTAAATCCATAACGCTACTAGAGAATACATTAGTACACGCACACATGTAGAGATAAACATTTATATAGATACACTTTCCACTTACTTCGTGCTTGTTCGGACACATAAACTTCAATATATTCTCAGGGTTTATCACAGCTCGACCTCCGTGTTCGCATAGAGGAGGTTCCTCGAGTCATCTAACTGCGACTAGGTGCTTCTCCTTAGTCGTCATTGGCTGAGGGCTAGGGGGGTGGAACCCACCGCTCGAAGTGCTCACGTGGATGTCTCCCTCTACACCAATCGTCGAAAAGGAGGTACCTATGATCAAACTTGTCTAGACCGTCGATCCACTGAAAGAAAAAGCACCTCTCATGGGCCTACACAACAAGATTCCAACAAAATATTAGTAGCCTACTTACATAAATAAAGAAAAAAAGATAGTGGAAATAATTACTTACATT